CTGCTGTAGGCAGCAGTACAACCTGAATATATCTGAATTCCTGGCTCCCTCAATAAGCTCCAAGAAATAGATTTTTCAGTAAGTAAAAAAATACTATTACATGGACAGTGATTTCTGCTGCAACATATACATGTGTGAGAATGCTGTTATTTCATTAGAGGATAGCTTTCAAAGATCCAGGATTACATGTCTTTGAGGATGCATAAACACTTCTCCTGTTGTGATACCATTCATACATACATTTAAAGGCCATGGGGAGCATACGCACAAACATTCCTTCTGTTGCAATATTTTCTATACATACATTTACAAGCCGTGGGGTGCATTCGCACAAACATTTCTTCTGTGGTGATATTATCTCTAAATACATTTACAAGACATGGAGTGCATACAGATTATGCTGTGGTGTGTTTGACAATATAACAAGATTGAGGGTGATCTTATATATTTATTGTTGGCCGCTATACTCCCACTAAGTGGATTTAACAAAAGTAATCCTGCGAAAATGTCTATTGGTCTTGTGCACGGAGCAACTGTTCCAATTTTGAGTTCTTAAACTTATACTTAAATTTTGGTCACAGATAATACAAACATAACTGTGGTGGAAAAACATGCAGCAGATAACTGAATAAACCTTTTATTTCAAATAATTGGGCATTTAGTGTTGTTTTTGTGAAGCTTTTAATTAATTTAATTGAAATTCTTTTAATAAATTAAAAGCAATTGATTAATTTTTTTGGGTAATGCTTACCATTAGGGGAGGAAAGCAGGCAATACTTACAAATTTGAAGATATTGGATAACATACAATATAACGTGTTGTTGGATTTAAATAATCTAGGAGCTCACTACTTTTTTTTCATACGTGGCCAGTTCTTTTTACAGGTCTGTGCTAATTTGAACTAATAAAGATATTGTTGTTCTGTAATCTACTGGTAACTTAAATCATAACCTATCCAGGTTTTTGCAGGCAATAAAAACCTGAGAGAGGTTCTAAGCCTTACCCACTCTGTCCAAAAGTAAAAAGTTTTGCATTCACACCTACATTTTAGGTGTGATGAGTGATTCCTGCATTAGGAACAAATTATTTCCTGCAGCAGGAATCCCTAATCTGCCGGTTCAAGAAGCAGTTGTCACCCATTTAATTTACTGATTGGGTGACAGCCGCTGCATTTAAACGCCGGCACACCGCATGTAATTGTATATGATTGCATGAGGTTAGGAATAATTCACTATCACTTGATGCATCGATTGTGGGTCCAGGGGTAGTGATTGGTTCCTAACTGCATGTAAAATCACATACGATTTCATGCGGTGTGCCGATGTTCTGCCACTTTCAAATGCAGCGGCTGTCATGGGTGACAACAACTGACGCTTGTAAATGTCACATTAGGGATGCCTGCTGCAGGAAATCGCAAGTTCATGATGCAGGAATCCCTAATGGCACCTAAAATTTAGGTGTGAATGGAGCCTTAGGGTCCCTGGTAGGTAACTCAGCGTATGTGTGTACACCCAATCAGCTAAAGTCTACCTTTTATTGTTGATTGTTGGGGGGGAAAAAAATGTGAATAAAGAGGAATTAAAAGAAAAAAAAAAAGTCTACCTTTTCCCTTACCAGCTAATCCCCCCATTTAAAACAAATATATAATACTGTTTATTGTATGTGTCATTTTGTATCCTGTGCTAAAGTATATGGTGTATTTTTCCAAACATCATTGTTTGCTTTTCATCATGGGGTCATTTAGGACACATTAATAATTAGCGTCTAATGCTTTTTGCACACAAGTGGGGCAAAAAATACCTACCTTGTTTCTAGTGGCCTTCCTCTACTATACTCTGTCCCGTAACCTGGCAAGGCACAGGTCCTTACAATATCCCTATTCAGTTTTCTTTTTCAGGCTGTAAGTTTAAAGTGCAGAGGAACAAGGAGGGGACAGGACGGGTGGTGATGTGGAAGATGGGCATCCAGAACAGTTACACCCTGGAGGCCACTTTCTGTGGATCAACACTGGGTAAGAGCACTTGCCTGTCATTTGCAAATAAAACATTTCAAGGGAGGCAATCTAGAAAGAGAAAAGAAAAAAATGTGAGTCTTTACTCTTAAACTGTTATAGCAGCCTTACTGGTCGGGGATACAGCAGGTACGTCCTGATGTCTGCATTTCATTTATAACAGTTTAGCCATTTTAGTGCAATAAATGTATTTTTTTTTTTTAAACAAGCAGTCCTGTCTCTTTAAATAGAAATGTGAGTTTGATATCCCCACACATTAACTTTCTTCCTCCCATTTCCAGGCAACAGACGTGGAACTCATTTCAGCACAAAGGACCTGGAGTCCTTGGGCCAGCACTTCTGCGATACTTTATTAGATTACTGCGACCTGGACCGCACCAAGGTAAGTCCTTTGTCACGTGGCCAACCGCAGGATGTGGAAGCGGGTCATCGGTGCCTGGCGCAGAGACTACGTTGATATATTGGTTTCCTCAGTCAGATTAATTCACTGACATGGCCTGACATTAAAACGAACTGCAGCATTTCCTTTTGTCGGTGCCCAGAGGTTTCTAAAGTGGTCCTGGTGCTTGGAGGTTAGTGGCTCCACTTTCCAGAGGAAATCGTGCTGTGATTGCCAGTAACTGAGCCAGCCCAGGGGGATGTGCAGGTGTTACTGGTTCAGCAAACCTGCATCACATTTAATCATATATGAAATTATAGCACATGGCGCCATCTGACTCCCGTTCATGTGTTGTACGTGCAGCTTGTTCCTGCTTTATATTCTTCGATAAAGTAACAAAGTAAGGCATAAAGAGAACCTGTGATTTGCCCATGCGGGGCAACAGGTTAACTTTATTGCCACCCTGCCCAGTTGCACATATTCACTTTTCCTTTGCTGCTTCTCTACTCCATTCAGCTGTTGAGAGCAAAAATCAAAAGAAAGCAAAGTGACAGGCTCTCTTTAATCGGGCAGAAAGTAAGGTGCAAACTATAAAAAACTATATCAACCATCTAGCATTCCTCTTGACAACTAAAGTGAAATCTGATTAGTTGCCATGGGTTGATGAACATTCTCCATCATCGTTACTTTACATTACTTTTTAGAAATCCTTTTGTTTCTCTGGGAGCAGAGTGTAAATTACAAAGCTGAGCTATAATGTGGCCAATAATAATGATTGATCTGTTTGTAGTACGCTGTGTGTCTGAAAGAACTAGAAGATGTGGTGAAACAGAAAGTCAATCACCAGCTAAGCATGGACTCCGAGGCCTTTCTAGATGACCTTTCTGATCTGGACTCCAGGTGAGTTATCTCTTCTCAAACACCAATGCTGTAAAATATTAGGACATTTGCTGCCACAAAAGCCATAAAAGACAAAAGCTCACAGCAGAGAGTACCACCTTCATAATATATAAATACTGTATGTATACTGTATGTATATATCTATCTATATATAGATAGATAGATAGATAGATAGATATATTTATCTATCTATCTATCTATAGATAGAGAGGAGATAGATAGATAGATAGATAGATAGATAGATAGATAGATAGATAGATAGATAGATAGATAGATAGATAAATGTGTATCTGAAATGATTTACCCATGGGCAGGGCTAAACGAGAACACACTTTGTTAAAAATTCCTTGCATACACTGCATCCAGTGACATTTATTAGTGGCTCCTATGAATATGGATTGCTTGTAATAACCATTTAAATGAGAAATGTACAACTAACTGTTGTAACTGATGAAACCCATCAAAAAGTAATGAGGGTTTGAAGGCACCTATGGGAGGTGAAGCTGTAGAAACAGTAGTTATGAGCTGGGGGCAGACCATATGTAAATAAAAGGGCTTCTTTAATGTGAATCATCAGGGTTTACCTGATCGAAAAACAAAAAAATCTGGATTTCTTATTTTTCTATGAAAAAGCAGGTCTCCATAACATGCTCCCCATTGATATTACAGCTGGCGTTACATTGGCTGGCGTGATAGCTCCAAGGACATTATCATTATTATCCGTGTTTCAACAATGATGTCAATGCAGTGTACTTGATCCTGCACCATACATGTTTGATGTGCTAAAAGAGAGGATTTTAGCCCAAGAGTCATAATTGTGCTGCCTGGCATTAGGCAATTGCACCTGATATGGCCAATTGTTAGCACTTCAGTAAACAGCGAGGGCAGATGGTAGGGAAAGAGCTGATCAATGTGGTCAAAGCTAGGCACACAAATGTTCTAGTGTCCCCCCCTCGCCTTGTTATTTAATACTATGTCCCTTAATTTAGTGCAGGGTACTAACTAATCTATGTTTGCCTGGTTTCAGCACTGGAGGCTCGGACAGCTCCGACTCTAATGGTCCTCCTGCTCATCTGATGGAACTGGCGTGTAAGGTATAGCTTTAAATGAACAATGCGCTAAGCTTATGATGAACACCTCTCTGCCTTTGTTGCACTCTACGTTCAGACTTCCAGTACTTCTCCCATGCTGCTCCCTCTTACTCTTCCACATGCCATCAGGCACTCACTAGAAATTGCTCTTTTAGAAGGCATCTGTTTCATAAAGGATTTATTGTGACATCTATAATTACTGTGTCTTAATTTAGCTTATCTCTTCTTTTCTCCTCTCATCTCATCTACTCTTGTCTCCTCTTCTTTCTTTATTCCTGTGTTTCTCTTTCTTCAGGTGAAGCCAAGAAAGAAGATGCTGAAATCAAAGAGAGAGAGGAATTCCCAAAGGAAGCAACCTGAGCAAAGCCTTTTCCAAGACGCACAGGTAAAAACAATTACATGGGGATGACACTGTGCAATTAAAGGTACAGACCAGTTAAAAGTAAAAATTAAAGCATACACCCAAAGACTATCATTTTATATATTGCAGCTTACCAGTCCTTAGATGTCATGGGTGCATTAGGTTTCTTTTGTAGGCTTTCTTTCTGTCTTTTCAACGGATAACACTGTCCCTGGTTGGCTACGGCCATCCTCTACTGTATCTATAAAAGGAACCATGGTTGTCATCCAGGCTAAACTTGAAACATGTCTTCCTCTCCTTATCTCCATTACATGAGATGTGGAGGGATTAGTATTTTACAGAAGGAAAATAACTGTCTGTACTTTCAGTTCAGCTCACCCGAAGTGACAAGGGCACTGCATTTTTTGGCAAGATCAATATGTATTTTCTGCACTTGCTGAAAATGATATTAGCTTGAAAAATGAAAATGAATACAGCCACCACATCTAAGGACTGGTAAGCTAGTTACAGAGCATTATTTATTTATGTTGGACGTGCAGGGCGGGTGAGCGTAGGGCGGCGTACGGCTGCGTAGTCCCATAGAGAAGGACAGGAGCTGCGTACTAATCACACGCAGCACCTGTCCTTCCCAGGAGCTGCCCAATACGGCCGTGCACGCAGCACGGAGCTGTACGTGCCGATCTTTTCTCGTGTGAATGAGGCCTCATGGTTAGAGAGAAAGTTAGTGAGAGAGTTAGATAGTCTCCTGGAGATGAAAGTTATTGTATCATGTTGCTGACCACTTTCACCCCTTTATGGTCGCGGCTCACCCCTTTGTTCAGTATTTGCTTCCAGCAGAAAAATGTGCTGTGTCACATATCACTCATCATCTCAGGCTGGTCTCACAGCCATGACATTGATTTTATTGCATTTGCAATGTCCTGTCCATTAGACCACATTTGAAATGAGCACTACATAAAGCATGAAAACTGAATCAGCATGGGCCAGAATCCTCAAGGACCATTCCCAGCGCCTTGTTGAATCCATGCCTCGAGGATAGCAAGGGCTCCTACCCTTTTCTACATAGGTGCACTTAATGATGTGGCCATTGAGTATTTTTAGTAATTCATTTTTTTTTGTATTCATCTCGGCAACAAATGACAATAGCGAATAATATAGATTGTGCTTCCTTTTCTGATACAATAAATACTTTATGTCCTAATAGAAAATGCTAAGAGGCTAATTGACTGTAAGGATTGTGAAGGAGGATTGCTTTTAAAGTGATTCAGTAATGAGTGGATGATGTTTGTTTTGTCCAGGATAACAATGAAAACTCAAAGGGGAAAGAAAGTACAAACCCTGCGGACCGGCCACCACACTCCGCCACTGTAAGGATCAATTGTACTACAAATCTATTATCTATTATATAACTGATTGCTCTTTTACAAGGTTATCGCTCTAATAGGCATTTATTGAGCGGTCTGGGTACTAGCTGCGTTCATTGTGGCCCGTTATGGGTACTTATGAGATTCTTAGTTTGTGGATGATGTTTTCTTTCTAAAGCTATTTTCCTTTTATTTTTTACTTTCTTAATTTGAATAACATCAGCAAATAGCACAAACATGAAGTTTAACTGATAACTAGCTACACTAGCAACTTTTGGTAGCTCAGTTGCAGAACTGAAACCACTAGCAATGAATTGCTAAGAATAGCAATAATCCTTTAAAGTGTATCTGTAACAAAAAAACTTTTTTTTTAGTTTTAGATAGAATGGGGAAAGGTTAGAACCCCTGTCGTGTCATGCTCCAGGGAACCAGACAACAATAACAAGTTGAGAAGGTTCTAGCACTTTTCTGCTTGATCACAGCAGCTGTAAAATAATAAAATCATCTTACATTCATTAGTTAAACGAACATGTTTTTCATTTACTTACAAATAGAGTTCATCTACTTCCTGGTCCAAAATGATGTAATGTGCCAAAGTATTGCATCTTGGAAAGGTTACATCAGCAGAGCATTGCTAGGAAATCTCATCTGTAATCTCATGAGATCTCAGGGAAATACATTTTCCTCCCCTGAGATGATGTGCATGGTCACATATCCTAGTCACATGTGCCAGAGTTCCAGGAAGTAAAGGGAGATGGATTATTCTGCCCTTAGTAAAAATGGTCACTGTGAGAAAAATGGGGAGGAAAAGAGAAATAAGGAATGCAAAGAATACAAAGCCGGCAATTATCTAGAAGTATGTGTTTGTAGATTGTCATTACTCAACAGAGGTGTGTTTGTTGTTATTTTAAAGATATGGGTAAAGCTCAGGAGTTATATCTTAGAAATACATTCAAGTACTTTAACTATTAACAAAAATGTATCTTATTTGTGTATCACTCGGCTGTAGATCCTCAAATCATCTGTGAATTGGTGCCGACACTGTCCTTCCTTCTGGAGGGGAGCTACTTTTGTTCCCCATGGTCCCTGTGTGTGTTGTAAAGTAGCCACCACTCCAAGCTCACTCCCGTGATGGACTACAATCACAATACAAGTTAGTAAACTAAATGTGAGATTGTAGTCATTCCCGGGAGTGAGCTTGGAGCGGTGGCTACTTTGCAACACACACAGGGACCATGAGGAACTAAAGTTATTTTACATTTAACTTGATTTCACTTGTTTCTAATATACATGTGTTTTTAATACCATTAAGGCGGAAAAAAAATTATCATCCAATCCTGTCACAGGAACAGACTCCGCACATTCAACCTCAGAAAAATGGAGGAATCGCAGCTACCAAAGTGTAAATTTACAGTGTGAAAAGCGTGATCTGTACAATAGCTGTCAAGTATATTCCCATTGTCTCTAGCTTTGGGAATATATGTCAATGACCCTCATTTGTCGAAATGTCTGAAATAAAGTCTGTCTGTGTTGGAATATGGATGCCCTTTAACAGGCATGATAATTGGAGATTTTAGAGATCGCTCTCCTGCCCTGCCCATCTCAAGACTTGTAACCAGTGGGCTGGCTTTTAGGAGGAGTTATACAAATATCAAAATGCCTTGATTGGTGAATGTCAGTCTGGAGGAGTGGGTGTTCCTAGGCAAGCTGTTTTTGCATGCAGACTTCCTTAAATTACATCCACATGTGATGTTAAGCCTCCATATTGAAAGATTATTCAAAAAATGAAAGGGGGCAGGGGATTGATGCTGGACACCCTCTAGCCAGGAAATGAGGTATGCTGTATCTGACTTGCTGCAGCATTTAGTGTGCAGTGAAATCAGGGTAAGCAATCTTAGTCCAGGAGAGGAGCCTGTATTCCTTTCTCTGTTCCTTTTCTGGTGACAACTAATTTTTTTGATTTTCCCATCACTTTCTGCTGTCCCACCTTCATCGCTCTAGCCAACATCATCCAACAAGTTTTTGCTTTAGATACACTTTTTTTATTGAGTTTGCAATGATAAGAAACAAAAAGGAAGGGGGGGGGGAGGGCGGCGGCGCAGTCCCTTGACAACAGCAGAAGCCAGGGGCACATATGCTTTAGAAACACGTTAATGCAGAAATAGCATCAGTATAATATATGATGTGCGAATAAAGTGAAGAGATATTCATGCCTGCAGGTTTGCAATTCTGTGGGGCATTTGTATGGAAGGCATTATTAGAAATCAACTCCAACCAGTTAAATACACAGTCATAAATTGGATCATTTTACCAGCCAATGAAAAGGTGATAACATTTTCTAAACCTGCAGTTCTGCTGTGTCACTGCCCCGCATCCTCCCACTTCTTCTGACTATCAATGAACACCACAACACTGGTAAAACCCAATCAAGCTGTATTTGCATGCAGACTACCTTAGGGAACACCCATATGTGATGTTGAGCCTCCATGACCGAAAAAACTGACATCCAATAAATGAAAGTGGTGGGCCAGGAACAGTAAGGCTAGGGAGGAAAGGGCTAGAGCAGGGGTGGGTAACTCCAGGACTCCAGCTGTTGTGGAACTACAAGTTCCATGAGGCATTGCAAGACTGACAGTTACAGTCAAGACTCCCAGAGGCATGTTAGGATTTGTGGTTTGGAGGGCCGAAGTTGCCCACCCCTAGGCTAGAGGATGCTGGACAACCTCCAGCAAGAAGAATCCAGGCTCTGTCTGACCTGCTGCAGCTTTTAATGCACACTGTGTGCAGTGAAATCAGAGTAAGCAATCTCGGTACAGGAGTGGAGCCTCTGCAACTGCACAAGACTGAAGGGAAGGCTTTAAAAATACCCGTCACTTTGCTGCTTAAAAGTATGTCTAAAAACAAAGCAACAAAACCTGCAGTTCTGCTGTCTCTGTGTCACTTCCTTTTTTTCTGTCAGTGAACACCACCACACTGCTAAAACCCAACCTGACCTTTTTGTTTTCTCTCCTCTAAGCCCATATAAGTACCCAGCCACAATTACCACTGTAAGCCCGACCTTTAAATTCATCAGCTGTGTGGCAACTCACAAATATCAGACAGTTTCACCACTACTGCAAAAAAGTGAGATGTTGTTATATATTGGAGTGGAGTTGCCCTTTAGTAATGCCGAGCTCATTCACATTTTTCATCGGGGTCCAGCGGAATTTGGATATTCTTCTGAAAGACTCGAGTTGTTATGGGCAACACAGACAGTTCTTTAAGATAGTTTGATAAATGAGATCCAGTCTGCTTGTGGCTGGAGAAGTTGAACTGAGTGTTTGTTTTTCATCTAATATTTGAAACTAAAATGTGAGGTGTGTTCTGATTATTCAGTGCAGGAAAAGTGTCACCTGTCCCACTTCACCTACCTGAACCCTAACACCTTACCTAACCCTTAAAGTAAACGTCTACCTAGTACTTGCCAGGCTGTGTAGTAGGCACCCTTAATCTCTTGAATTCCATCATTTTACACCCCCTTCCTGTCCAGGCCATTTTTCAGTGCTGTGATACTTTGACTCACAATGAATCCATCATGCAACACTGCACCCAAATTAATTGTATATATTTGTATAAACAGAGCTTTCTCTTGGTGGTATTTAATAACTATGTTTTTATGGCGATATAAAGGAAAAAAAAAATTGAAGAAAAGCTTGTTTCCCTTACTTTCTGTTATAAAACATGGCAAATAAAAATGCCAGGACAGTACAACATCCCCCAAAATAACCCTTTTTGTAAAGTAGACACCCCAAGGTGATCTGATTTTTTGCCACAAGGTAATGGTGTAGGCTGGTATTTAGGGGGTTAAAACGTGGAGCTTGGTTATGGTGTACTGGATACAGGTACATTAAATGTCGACATTGTACTCAGAGGGAGCCGGAGATGAAGGGGTTAATGTACAGGTCACATACAGTCGGAGGATGGAAATGAAGGTGAAGAGGTTCATGTGAAGATGTGCAGGATAAGGGAATTGAGGGATAATATACAAATCAGATCAGAGAGCTGACATATACTGTAGAGTTGTGAATGGACACTGGTACTGGATGACACTGTTTCTGGTACTTGATACTTATTTCCCACTATCATCCAGTACCAGATGGCTGCAATCAGCAGGCTCTGTGCTTAAGCTAGCCATACACTGCTCTATTTTTTTTTGTTCAACCCACGTGCTGAACGAAAAAATAGAGCAGATTCCTCCATCAACGCTACAAGCACGTTGATTTGAGGAATGCCCACTGCTTCTTTTGTAATTCGGCAGCGGCCGCCGGCCTCTGTCAGAATGCTCAAACAGAGCCAGCAGCTCATTCTTCATACAAAGATTTTGTGACCGGTTCCTTCGATCAGCAAAGGTTCCTCAAGAGCCGGCCAAAATTCAAACAGTGTATGGCCACCTTTTTAGAGTCGACTGCTAACCACAGCCATTGTTTACTATACGCGATGCTGTTGGTCACCACGATCTCATGGTACAGAACCATTCTCATTGGCTCTGCATCCTCTTTTTGTGATCTGCACTGACCAATGCACAGTAAAAAATCATGTCATCCTGCCCTGGGAGAGCTGCTATCTGCCCATTTATGTAAGTGGTTAAGCAAACCTGTGCTTTGCCTATTCAAGACAAAGCAATGGGCAGTCCCTAACCCCACACCTACCTTGTTTCATTCCCCCGCTCCTGGTTCAGTGACAGGAGGAAATAACCAGTACTTCCAGATTCAACAGCTCATGGGACTCACCCCACATGACAGTGCTGGGCCCATCAGGACTGTCCTGCAGGGAGTCCTGTGCCTTGTTTTATTTAGACACAGGTCATTCCTTTTACCCCTGTATCTGAACAGACTGGTGGGGTGCAAAAGGCAGGTCAGTATATGCTATAAATCTGCATTAAAGTGAACCTTCTTAAGATTCTTACTTTATCTTCCAAAACATTGGCACCAAGCTGCCCCTCCCACGCCGGAGATCACGGCAATAGAAACAACTGACCCGTATAGTTAGATATAAAGCATACGTTTCCTTGGCAGGTCTGTTTTGCCTATTACAGAGACCAAATAAAGATAAGAGTTTGCAAACGCCCTGCTCAACTGAGCATACAAGGCTCTTGGAAGTACAGACATTTGAATCATTATGCAGCTCACCAGGTCTATAAACAGCTATTCTGAGCATCTTGTACAAAATTCATAACTCTCTCTAATACAATTCCTCAAAGGATTGTGGTTGTAGAACACTTGCAGCAGAATACCTAATGAGACATAGAAGTAAGACGTATAATTAAAGCGAATGTTCCTTGCCTTAGGAAATAAAGAAAGCGTCTTCTAACCTCTGTCTCATTGGGGATGATTCACATTGCAACCTCTGAGGTCTAGTTTCAAATATTCGATTTGATCTGCTGTTCTTCTATGCTTGGAACTGAGTGACTGGAATACTGAAGTCTGGGTTCAGCGTGTCACGTAACTGGGTCCTTAACTAGCAAACTTTTTACACTGAACATCACAAGCAAATTAGAAGAAGTAAGAAAAAGGGAGCAGATTTTCAGTATGTACACGTTTGAGTTTTAGTGTTAAAACTAACCCGAGAGTCATTTTCTGACTCTTTGCTCATGACTGCCATATTTTGAAGATATAACTTTTATGTCAAGGCCAGATTGTATTGTATTGTGATTAATGAATTCCTATAGGTCTGTGCTTTACTGCCAAGTAGAGATGAGGCTGGGCTTGGTGCAAACCCAGTTCACCCAAGCCCACTCCAAAACTCTTTCCTCAACGTTCTTCTCTCGACCCAACCAGTTGCGATGGGTACAGTCTCTTGCCCTTTGTGATTAAAAGCTGCAGAGCGAGAAATGTGCCTCCCCGTAACCGACTGGGTTGGGAAGAAGGGGTGGCTGTCAGAGTTTCCAACAGGCTTGGGGGAACTCAAGCAAACTGGGTTTGCACGATGCCCAGCCTCATCACTACTGCTAAGCAGGAAACACAGAATGGAACTGAAAATATGACTGTTCCCACATACATACTCTCACTCTCGATTCACCTGTAGATATATAGATATATATTTAGTAAAGGTGACAGGTTTAACTGGTTTCAGCACCTTGCACGAAACACAAACACCCAGGAACAGTCCAAGCAGGTCCCCTCAAATCAGTTACCCAAATCAAACAGGCAGCACTTTTTTTAGTGTTCTGTCTGCATTCAGCCTTTCCCCCCAGCAGCAGACTCCTACAAAAGAGAGTGTTAGAAAGCCCTGATCATCAGTCAGCTCACATATATAAAGGCCTGTGGACAGCTGAGACTAATAATGAGGACTGGTTACCAAAATTTGGAAGGTTTTCCCACCCAAAGCTCTACAAAGCCTTTGGCCTCCAGAACAAAATGTTTGCTTTCTGCACATCAGCCATAAACCCTGGAGCCCCTCCCCATGGCTACACATATATATACCATCCATATTGCTGCCAGCCAGTACTAGGGTTTAGGCCCCTGTCATGGGTTAGAAACCCATATGAAGCTTCATTTTCTATCTGCATCCCCAGCAGGCAGATTCTTTTCATTTCCTTTGTGTCCCCCCTCCCCACTGGGGAGAGCTGTTTGTTCTGGAGATCATTGTCACTGGGACAGAAAGTGACAGGAAATGTTACAGTTGACAATGCGACAGTAATTAAAGGGAAATCTACCAATGGGGTGCTGGTTCCAGTGAATTAACCCTTACTGCTTCAGAAATTGCATAACTGTTTAGGCTTTGGATATAATTTTAAGTAATTAAGTATTAAAAAAGTATTGTAAAGCTTCTGATTTCAAGTTTTTCTACAACTATGGCACCACTGTCATATATATACTGTATATATGTATATATATAGCAACGGCTCAGATTGGACTTGTTTTGAGTAGGAAATTTGAGAAGCTCCCTACAGCTACATATCACACTGTAGAAACCAGACTATTCTTTGTCATTCTTCATTGTCAGATCTTAATTTAAACTCTTTATCGCAGTACATGTTCTGTATTTTTTTTAATTCAGTTCTGCAAAAACTTTATCCCTTTAACACATTAGTCAAGTGCATGCTGTTTGCTGAATGCTCATGTTTTTAATCATTATTACCTTTCTTATGGGTTAAAGTGACAGTGGACAAACAGGCAAATACACAGCTGAAATATGTATATGCCAAAGTGCCAAATGATTTGTAATTCTGTACAGCCTCTCTTGTGATTTACACACGTTATTCACACTATAGAGATAGTAGCAGACTGACAGAGTACACTTACAGATTGGCAGGTTGAATAGACTATTTGAACAGCTCCACCTTCTGGCTCAATGCATGAATAAATCATCTTCACCTCTACATCTGAATGTCGTATTAGCCATTTAAGTCTCTGGTTGTCCTCAATAAAAAAGCAGTCCTGCACAGGTCAGGTGTATACAGTGCCACGTTGGCCAGAACCTGTCATGTGAACAATATGAAGAATTATCATTGCTGACCACTGCTATTAAGAATGCTAGTTGCCTGGCTTTTATGTTGACACTTTGACTTAGTTGCTTGTGTCACTAATCTAAAAGAAGCATAGAGATAAGGAATTCTGACTCTCATGCACTGTATGCTTGTTCCAGATCTGTGATTCAGAAATATTGAAGCCAGTCAACTTGCACTGTCATAAAATAGGCTATCAACGGCCATCAGCATATTTTTGTATTGACAGGTGTACTTTAAAGAACAACTTCTGTAAAAATGTTTTTGTTTAATTAAAAAATATGAAAGTCATTTTCACACGATTATCCGAGCCAGCCGGCTGTCACAGTGCTCTCTCCTGTCTGTCTCTTCCTCCACTGCAGTGATGATATGTCCCTCAGTGTCCTCACGTCCTATACACTGTGTATAGAACTTGATGACTCAGGGACCTTAGACCGCTGCAGATGAGGGGGAGAGGGACCAATCTAAGAGCCGAAGGATTGGGTGAGTATAACTTGTTTTATTTTTTTGTACACTATGCAAAAATAAGCACTTAAGCCCCCACAGCAAGGTAGCCCCACTGCAAGGGTTAATAAAATTTTTAACCAGAGTTCTTCTTTAAAACACAATACCTATAAAGTAGATCACATACATAAAAGGACCCAATAGTACGTAAGCTATTGCAACAGCTCCCCCTCCTGGTCACATAATACACTGCTATGAATATTACAGACAGCATAATGTTCAGAGCATGAATGAATAATCTTCACTTGACCGGATGAATGGCCTGAGTGCTGTCATTTCTATTGCTTGGATTGGCTTAATTCTTCTTCCTGGAGGAGCCGTTAAATCAGAATAACTGAGGGGTGATGTCAAATCTCTATTAGGAAACAGAGAAATTAATGTCTTCCAGTGTGTCTCTTCATTGATCTGCATATTTATTTACACCTCCGCCGTGAAATAACAATGGCTTCCTTTGTTGTATTGTGTAGAGCACTGTAATTTTTTACTTCTATTGAAGCTGTTAGAATTTTTGACGCAGGCATGCAAAGAATCTAATTTCTTTTTTATATTATTTTAATGCTTGCTAGCCTGCTAAGGAGGACAATACATGGAAGGTGGGGAACAAATACATATGTTAGTCATGTTTAAACGCATTTGTTATAGATTGTATTATTCTTGCAGCTTATTAATGCCTTCGCAAACAACTCGAGTGTAAAATGAAACTCCTGTCTTGTTGCTGTTACAAAGCAATTGTGAATAGTTTAGTTCAGGATTACATTGTAAAACCCAGAATATCCGAAGAACAAGGGAATCATTGGGCGAGGATTTAAATATCATTTCTTTAAGCTGCAGAGCCAACTCCTACACCTAGAACCTCTGGATTAAAACCAGCATAGTATGTAAAGCCTTTATCCGGTATGTGTACAGCTCTTTCCAACATATTTTCTGGAGTGCAGTATATGGAATTCACTGTGTTTATGATGGAAGGTTTAAAAAGAGGCAACAATGCAATACAAGCATTAAAGTAGATTTCTTCTTTTGTAAATCCCTAAATTAAATGGATTTTCTGCAAAAAAAAATGGGGTTACTGCTTTCCCTGATCTGCAATGTCTCCATTAGCTATGCTGACAAAACAAATCCCGCAGCTTCCGACACCTATGGGAGTGTCATACCTGGTTCTCCTCTGTGCGCTGTGGTTTCTTCTTCTGACCACATGGGTGCTGCGCTAAAGTCAAGCCTCTAGGAGATGTACAGCGAGCATCCCTCTCGGGTGCCGGGTACACCCTGGTGGTATCGTGTGGGGCTCTACCCCTCCTGTGGTCGCCGGCATCGCCCCCCCCATATATGTTGGTGGAGGAGGGACAGTTTTTTTGGACATTAAGATTGGGATGTTTTTTTGATGCCCATGGCCTTTTTTACTCTAGGCACTAATTCCCTTTCCTGAGGAAGCCATTACAGGCGAAACGCATAGAGACAAATCCATTTATCAGCACCGCAAGACCTCGGCTCACCTATGTCTACATATGCCCTTTAAGGTTTTGGACTTTATGTATATCTTAGCCTATTTTGCAGTTGCTGATTGATGCTGGACCAGTGGGCCAGTCACAAGTGTATCGTGTCCTGGTTCTGTTTGCTTTTAAATGTTTACGGTTTTACTGAGATGTATTAATAAAATGCTGTAATTTTATCTATATGTTTCTGCGGTAATATTTCCAACAAAGGACAACTCAAAAAAAAAAAAAACAATATCTTTTCTAGTTCATTTTTTCTAATGTTGTGGGAGTGACAAGCCCTTTTACCTGCTTGGTGACCCTCCTGGGCATTTACCCAGGGAACGGTTTGTGAGATATTTATTGAAAATTCAAGTAGGAAAAGAGCTGAAGGCTTTTATTAAAAGAGAGAAACTTAGCCACTGTCACTGCTAACCTCTCCTTATGAAAAAGGTAGTTGCTTGTCTGTCCTCCTCTAGAAGAGAAGGACAACCACAAATAATCACATCAAGCTCTATGAGGAGGGCAACCAAACTCATTAAGGGGTTCGAGGACCTGAACTATAAAACAAGGTTGTTAAAATTAAATATGTTCTCGTTGGAGGTTAGGAGATTAAGGGGGACATGATTTTCTTGTATAAACTATTCAATGGTGACAGCAACATTGTTAACAAACTGTTTACGGTTAGCTCCATAACAAAGACCAGAGGGCACCACCAAAAATTTGGTGGAAAAAAAATGTCAACACACAAGGGGTTCTTTACAGTTAGAGCGGTTAGGGTCTGGAACTCGCTGCCGCAGGAAGTGATTTCAGCTAAGAGTGTGGAATCATTAAGGAAACTCCTGGACGAGTTCCTCGGAGGCCATAACATACAGGGGTACAGGTACTCCTAAGAGCAAAATAACACATGGACTAATACACACGCACACACCTGGTCAAACATAAATGCATACACGCAGTAGGTTGGACTTGATGGACTTATATCTTTATTCAACCTCAAATACTATGTAACTATGAGGTTTAGAAAGGTGTAAGTAGAGTGCTCACAGAAACATTCAGTTAAGAGGCCAAATGTTTGGAAACAACAAAGAAGAAAAGGAAAGTGCACCAGTCCAGGCTGGAGGGGCATATCCTATCTTAAATTAAGAGCACACAGTTTTTGTTTGAGTTAATGCTTTATTCAGTATTTCTAACCAAACCCAACACGTTTCGCAGCATATAAAACCTTCTTTACCGCTTTAATTGATCAAAGAATATTTTCTGACTGTTCAGCACAGGTTGAAAGGTTTGGTCACACTCTAACAGCAGCCTTTAGGCTTATCTAAAACCTGCAAATTGGTTAAAGCCTTCCAGATTTGCATAGAGTAAGGAAGGGTTAGGACCCTGAAAGTGATGGGGAATTTCACATTTCAAGTTGTCTTTGAAACAGGAGATGATGGGAAATACAGGGGATACCTGTTTTCATAACAACTGTGAAAGTGGGGGATTTTCCCTCAGTTTGGAGAGATTTCCTCTTGTCTCAAGCACACTAAATGCAGGGAAATCTCCAAAATGGGACAAAGAGGTGTTCTAAGCTATTTTCACGCTATCCAAAGCTTTAAAAAAAAAGTTTTGGCTTTAGATATTATTTCATACATTGTGTAAGTGTGCTGGAAGATAGATATGAAAAAGACAGGACAGTGTGGTAGTGATTTAAAGCTGCACTCTATGATAAACAAATATTGTCTAAATACAAGAGTGTGTATTCCTACTTGAATATTGCTGTCGTATGTGTATTTCTTCCAGATTTGTGCAGCAATCCAGCATGAAACAACTCCTGCATTTTACCTCTGTGCAGGAACTTACTATAAAAAAAAACTGGTCACTGTTGCTTTCTCTCCTTGTGCCGGGTAACTGGTCTTGTATCCACCCCCTCCTGTAATAAAGACCAGTCACTGCTGCTTTCTCTCCTTGTGCCGGGTGACTGGTCTTGTATCCACCCCCTCCTGTAATAAAGACCAGTCACTGCTGCTTTCTCTCCTTGTGCAGGGTGACTGGTCTTGTATCCACCCCCTCCTGTTGTTATCTGCAGCAGCCTGTACTGCTAGGACCTGCTGGTTCACCCCGTTGCTCTGCTCTCTGCACAGGTTGTATGCAGCCCAGTAATGATGTCACTGCTACTTTTACATTCTAATATCTTGGCAGCTAGTGCACACAGGTTGGATTTAGATCCTTCATGGCTGTTGAGGACAATATTTAAATGAAAGCTTTTGTGCCAGAGGTTTACCTTTAACAGACCTGTTTATGCGCTTGGTAATGGGACACATGTATATGTTGATCGCTTATATATTTCTGTTTTGCCAGATGAAACAGATTTCCTTAGAGAAGTTAAAAAACCCTCCAAAAGGATCTAAAAGAAATAAAACCATCCTGTCCAAAAAGCAGAAGGAGCCACCGCTCCAAGATCTGGATCCAAAGAAGGTATGTGTCAATTGCATATTGTTTATAGTGCCCTGTGGGTCACTAGTCATATTGTTAACACTCAGGTCAGGGGCGTAACTAGAAATCACAGGGCCCCATAGCAAAATTTTGTATGGGGCCCCGTGATTGCTAGTTATGCCACTTGCAGAGCCCCAGCGGAGAGTGACCCTTCAGAGCCCACTATAGAGAGTCTGAGATCTTTTACCTGTCAGCGCCTCTGTGGTCAACAGGTATTTTCTGTACTTGGCAAACAGATATAACAAAACACTTTTAATAATATATTTAACAGCCCAAAATGGAGCAAGCAGGGAAGTTCATTGTTTGGTTTTACTTCCACCTAAACAATAGAATGTAAATATTATTCAGGTTAAAGAGAACCTGTCACCAGCACAGTCTCAGACTCTTATTTTGTCCTTGATATTATCTTATTGCTTTCACTTTATTTAGGTGACTTCTGGCACTTTAGCTTACAAGATTACTGAAATAAAAAGTCTTGCATTGGACACTAGATGGTGACACATGACAAGTTCTAGATTTATGACCCAAGCTGGCACTTTAGCCTACAAGATTACTGAAATAAAAAGTCTTGTATTGGACACTAAATGGTGACACATGACAAGTTCTAGATTTATGACCCAAGCTGGCTATACACAGCTTGACTGACGTTGAATGAGGCAGGTGTAAAATTATCGGCCAGTGACTCCTTACTATCAGACAGATGCCCTCAGTTGTCTATGATCCACAGACACCAACCAGCAGAGAAATGTCTAAGCGTTCCTTTTCCTAAAATAAACCCATTTACGTTTCTAGCTAATCAGGTTTCACCTTTGACGTCATAAAAAAACTAGGCAAGTTCTGAGCTTATTAATGTTTCTTCAGATTTCAAGGATTAGAGCAAAGGCACCTTACAGGTTCAGTCAACCAAAGATTTTTATATTTTAGTTATAAGTGGAGTCTAGTGGGCTGAGTCAGTCCCTGGCCTCTTATATGTCTTGGGAAAGAGCAAACACAACCAACTTGTGGTAGTGTCAGATTCCTGTAACCTAAGGAAAATGTAACATGTAAGGTGTTCCACAGTGCCGCAGTAATTGGTGGTCATGGTAAAAAGTGGGTGTTCCTAAAGGACTTTTTTTTTTTACACACGTTTTTACAAATTCCAGCATCAGCTTCCTTTGTGGCGTTCAGTCACATGACCTCTGGGGGCTGCAAAGGAAGTTGGTGTTGAAAGACTTCCCTCTGCCAGAAACTGTGATGCACATAACTTATTTGTGCTGAACGGAGGGGAAAATGCTTTTACCCCAATACTGTGTCTGTTTATTTAGGGCTTGATTCAGTCCACTATGAATGAGGATTGACTATCCTTTTAATATAGTACTTGAAGGGAATGTCCGTCCACAGGCAGCAACATCTGAATGAGACAGCTTATTATAAATGTGTGCATATAACTGAACAGCTCATCAGAATTTATTTTAATTGTCTCTCTGCAAAGGTATCTGTTATCTACCTGGTGTTCAATGCCAATGGAGAAGTCATTAGCACCAAGGTGAGTAAGGCCACTGAAAGAGTTTTATGCCTTAAAATGTAATTAAACAGATTGAACTGCAGTCAATTATGCGAATTTAGCAGTGCAAAGATGTGCAGGAAGTCTTTTTAGACAGGCAGAATCTCTCTACAAAATAGTTTTTTGAGTTAGGCTAAATTTGTTATTCTCACCTTGTCAAAATTTGTTGAAATGGGCCAGAGCAGCTTCATAATTAGATGGAACTGCCAAAACTGATACTTTTAATGAAAATATCAAAGTTGACCTTTTATGAGCAAGACACTGGTGATTTTTTTTTTAGATGTGGGTGGAGAAGAGAGTTTGCTTCCCAAAAGATAGGGCAGAGTGCCGGAGGTGTGCTCCCGTTGTGGAAAATGGAAGTCCAAGCTGTACACCAATAACCAAAGTTCAGAACACTTCACAATAGGTCATCTTATATATCACCAGCACACTCAGGATCTGTACTCAAAAAGTAAAGATTCCCATGGAACAGTTTGAAAGTTAATTGTACCTTGACGAATACCTTGACGTAAATGTACCTTTTTGTCTAGAATTCCTCATAACAAATGGTGTACTTTCTCATTTGTGAGGGTACCTAGGCCTACTTCCTCCTAAGGCACTGCTTCCTCTGACATCTAACCTCAGGAGATTTGGAGTGAGATTTGGTGAAGTCACTATTGTGCTGCTCACTGTTCTCCTTTCTGGAGGAAGCAAAACCCTGATTCTACCAAGATGGCCAACTCCACCCAGAATGCAGAACAAGGCATGAAGGAAAATTATTAGCTGCAGGGAGACCACCGGCAATACTGGTGACTAATTCTTTGCCCTCTGTCTGCTATTTTTTTAGCACAGCATCTAGAGTTTAGTTCCTCTTTAACCTGATTTGTGATAAAGTCACCAGTAGAAGCAACTTTTTAAAGTTTTGGGGTCCCCTCGGACATCTACTTTAAGTTAAAGTTTATGTTAAAAGTTCCCTTCACTTCCTGTCCCAGGGACACAACAGGGACCAAAGTGAGGAGAATTCCCTTCTTAGACCAGTGGCCCAGCTGGAAGATTTCCGCTTCCCTTTTATTCTTTAGACAACTAAAAAATAAAACATTTCCCATCATTTCTTTCTTGATGGCAATGGTCACCAGTACAAACAGGGAGGGGGGATTTCCTCAATGGGTATATAGACAGCAATATAGACTTGACAGAAGGTCTAACCCTTTCCAAGGCTTTGCCTAAAGATCTTTTTTATTTACATTAGGTATGCTCTTGTGTTCTCCTGTGTGCGACCTTGTAATTATATATATATATATAATCAGTTTCTGTGTTTTTTTTACATGGATCCAGTCTCAATCGTATGCCAATCAACAAAATGTGATGAAGTTTACAAACAGTTTAAAAGGTGAGTAGTGATATACAAAAAAACTTAGAAATAAGTGGCCTGTCATTGCTGAGCTCTTTTTGAAAGTTAAAGGAATGATTGGATAACATTTTAATAAACATCAAATTGAAGTAAAAGTTACTGTCTTACTGTTACAGAATTTGTGATTCGTTTTTATTCCTTATCAGAAGATTGCATATTGTGCTAATTCTGAAATGTTGCAGGCTTATTGTGTCCTAATTTTGTGATTTGTGTTCTCAGGATTCTCATTGAATAGACCTCTCCCATTGTTTAAGAGTCTTCTAACGCAGAGATTTCCTTTCGGTGGTGTACTGGAGCCCAGCTGTTATTACTTCATCCCTACAGACATCAGTGACACCCCTGTATCTAATACTTTGTGCCATGGTTATGAGTCAGGAGACGGAGTAGTCAAGTCAGGTGAGTATGACAGTTTGTGGTATGAGAAAACTAATATTGACAATTGGATACTGGTAAACAGAAAAATTGTAAGCCAACCCCCTTTCAACCCCTCCTTTACCGAGCATGCCTCAGTTTTCATTTGGTGTCCTAGGAGGTTAGTTGCCCAGAGCTGAAGAAAACCTTTTTCACTCGCCTTCTCTGTTTTGTGAAAATATTGCCTCAGTAACTTCAGTCAAGATTCTTCACTGACACTGTTGCTTGAGCTGGTCTTTATAGCAGCTATGCTAATTGGCGTTTCGTTAGCCTATCTTTGAAGGCTGTAACCCTTTGGACTGAACAGGTGGGGCTAGCCTGGAATGTGACCTTTGGACACTGGGCTTTGCACTGTGGCACTTTCCAGACCAGAGTGTACTGTGTTAATTACTTGTGGAGCGCTTTCCAGGTCTGGAGCCCTAGCACAGCCCAGGTGTGACCCTGTCGCTAACACTCACCTTGTGAGTAAGGCCATTCACGCTGAAGTGCCGGTAACTGTTTGCAATGTTGTGCACTTTTCAAACTTTCCACCACCTCTGGTTTACCGCTATAGTGGGTTAAGGCTGAGGGACAAAGTGATGACATGCTGCAAAGACCTTTCCACTACAGTTGCTTTACTTATTCCTCTATGTGGACTGGAAACACTATGGAGAGTGCTGGAAGTGTGTTTGAACTATGACCTTTTGAAAGGGAATTTGTAGGCCGGTGGTCTATTTCCTTCATAGATACACCAGTGACTCATCAATAACAGGAAGACCACTAGGCTGGTTGAGGGGTCCTTACATTCCATTTTGAGTTGACTGGTCTGGCCTTCTGCCCTCTCCTGGTAGTAACCTTAATCTGCCAAACCATGTCAAAATGGGTAGATTCACTCCAGAGAGATTCCTCCACTGCTGGGATAGGCCCCTGTTTTATAGAGCATGTGAAGCAATTGTCTGGAGTCTTATGCTTTATTTGAGATGGCTTGTTGCAAGCATATAAACGTATGCCTGGCTTGGGACTAATGTCCATACAAATGCGGAAGACACTCTCGCTACGTAGTTGGGGCACTAATGATACATCCAATGAGTATCGAACTGAATTTACCTCTGAAGAAAGTTGTCTCTTCAGACCTGCTCTTAACACCCTCATCAGCAACACCACAGGTGGCTGAAGTATGCTCCTGTCTCAACTCCGGAAGCCTGCGTAGTAGATGGTATCCCAACTTTTTCCTTCATCTACTTTAGCAACATCAGCTGACCCCAATGATAAGCCTTCAGCATGAAGATGTACCCCTACTTCTACAAGTTGGGTCACTGTTTTTACATCAGTGGGTCCTTGGGTATTTTTCCTCCCTGGTATTAGGGTGTTTTAGCCCATAGGCTAAACCTCTTGTGTCTGGCATCTCTTTCAGCCACCCCTCACCATTTACTATTTTTGTGTGCTACTGCACACAGCAGTGTATCTTCCCAGGTCTTCCTGGCTTCCCCACACCCTGTGACTTCATGTTCCTGTTCACTTGGGAATTTGACTTTGGGATCCCACATGGACTTACACTCTCTTTGTCAGGAGAACTCTTTATTCTCGGATACAGCATTCCCCTTCTCCAGAGGACAGGATCAATTCCTTCTGCACCCTTCCCCATAAAGGACCTGACCCCTCAGTGTCCTTCGGAGGCACCTGCTGCTTCTCGAAGCACTGGACCTTACTGTATGTCCCCCCCAAGTGCCTTTTCCTGGCATCCCCATTATGGAACATTCAAAGAACCCTCTCTGAAGAGGATCAGCATTTAGACCCTGGCTTCTGAAGAGCCTAACAATTACAAGCTTTGATAAGGCCTCACCGGTATCTACTATTGGTAACTATTGGTCTCCAACAGGTGAGGCTCTTCAGCTCAAACCAATGTTAAAAAAGTCTACACCATGTGGGTCATTAGACCCTTTCTTTTCTGTCAAGAAAATTCTCCCTCCCTTTCCTGTAAGAGTTTGAAGGGTGTTGAGATCATTCCCTCCCTCCTGACAAGTCTCTCATTGCCTCTCAGTCTTTTTCAGCATCCCTCATTATTCCTGGGGGCCTGGACTCAAGGCAAAACATCCAGATGGTCTCTATGGTCCAAAAAGTCCCTGATGTGACAGATCTGTCTAACTGATGGTTCCTGCTTTGTCAGGGGATTCCAATGTGAGTTGGCTTAATGACCTAGACTTCATTGGACATCGCTTAGGTGTTGCAGGAAAGTTTGGGAACTCTCCTTGTGACAGGACAACCAGCCTGGTCACGGCGATGGATGATGCTAAGTGTGCTACACTCATCTGCTGTTCCTTTCTGACTTCCTTAGAGACACTGAATTATTATTTGGCTCTTGTCAATTGCTATTCTCCACCCTGAAGGAAGAGTTTTGTGCATCAAGGATGGTATGGCAGGAAGAAACTATCGTTGGAAGGCTCTGTCCTCTTCTGGATTGTTAATAGGGAGAACATGCTGGCATCCTGCTGCAAGTACCCTCTGTTGGGGATAAAATACAAGTAAAAGTCATTGTAGGACCTGATTTTCTGGAGATAGGTCCTCCTTTTGTGGCTGATCTGCAGCCTCTTGAGGTAATTCCTCTAGATCCCTTCATCTTTCCCTTCCTCATGACTTGTTTCCTGACAAGTCATGAGGACATGAGGACTTGTATATGTCCCAGTATTCTTTTCTTTCGACCAAATCACGTTGTTCTGTTTTTTTCTTATTAGTTTTTTATGCATTCCACCAATTCTGGTGGGTTTTTGGTATTACAGCTTTTTGCTGGTACAGGCTCAGTGTTCCTTCAGGCAAAGTCATTCTCCTTGGTGGATCTCTCCTGTCTTGGTCTTGAGCATCAGGTTGATCCTTTGTGGCCTTTCCTTGGCAGCAACCCCTGTCTTGCAGGGGACTCCTCCCCATCTGGCTCAGATTTGGGCATTGGTACTTCAAGCAGTCCTAGGTTGCAGACAGCTCCTAGTCCCTTCATGCATCTGTCAGTAGCTGTTGCACCCCACTCAGTTGCACTACTTTTAAAGTCCTGACTGTTTCTGAATCCCTATATTCCTCAATGGATGAGAGAGAGAATAAAATCTCTTTCTTGGACTCCATTGAGGGACACAGGTCCCGGCCCTCTGTGTTTTTGCTTGGCCCTGGCACTGCCTTTTCACAAAATTGAGGCATACTGGGTAATGGAAGGGTTGTATGGCTGCTGGCTTTCCATTTTTTCGGTTTGTCATTGTTCTACACCTCCTGTAGGTGGCTATATAACCTGACTAATTCCTTTGTCCCTCAATTAACTCCTACAAAAACATTTTATAGTAAGTAAAAAAAAAATATTTTTATGACATTGCACTTTTTTTTTTATAGTGAAAGCCCCACTTTCGTCTGTGCACAGTGAAGGAAAATTTTCCAGGTAAGAGGAACATGCAATACATTTCTTTCTTGATGCATTTCTAAGAACATGGAACACGCATACTGGCTTTCCTGATGAAAATAAAAAAAAAAAAAAATGAATAAAAATTAAAATAAAAAAAATTTTCCTGATGAAAATATAAAAAAAAAAAAAATGAATAATAATTAATATAAAAATAATTTTGATTGGCTTGTCTAGTTCTGGAAGCATCTGGGCTCGAGAATCGCCCCTGGAAAGGGATACCGGGAACACTGTGTTGGCAGGAGCAGCTGTAAGGCATGGTCTATCTTCCCCATCTGTGAGAAATAGTGGATCTGCACCACCTCTGGTACCCAATGATATGGAAGTCCTGAGCAATTTGTATGGATCTGGTAAGGAAACTGTCAAAACACAGAACCTTCTTAAAGCTGAACTCCAGGCAGATGTTAAAGACACAAATAATGCAGCCCAGTAATCATAATACATCTTTACATTTATTTTTTTATTTGGAAGTAGCTGAATTTGACTTGGTATCTGTCTCTTGCAATTTCCTCCTTTTTCACGTTGCACATTAAAAAGCTTCATATATCCTGGACATCCGTTTAGCCATGAGACGTTCAGTTAAATGAAGCTATGGGCAAAATATATATATTTCATATATGATGCAGTCCATCACTAGCATTACCACAGCAGCAAATGTCAGCCCCCCTCTATAACACATTCCTGTTAACCTGTCCAGCAGATCTGTTATTTTACCATTTCCTTTAACAGGGTGACAATGTTGTTTGTCTAGCAGTGAATCTTACAACAGTGTTGTCACCCTCTGGACAGAGTAGTCTTAAATAGAGTAAGTAAGTGACAAACAAATTAAAGCCCAGGTCTAGCTAAAACATTTTTCAGCAGTTACAGCAGGTTTTTTTATGTAGAAAAGGTTAAAAACCTTGTGAATAAAAACTGACCAGCAGTATTATGACCCCTGTGACTGCTACTTTTACAGGTCAGAACACCACATACGGCTACCAGAACACAATGGTGGGAATTTATAAAAACCAGAGCAGTTTTCTTTTGGTAATCAATCAGCCTCTTTGTTCAGTTTGCTCAGTGAATCCTTCGAAATGAAATAGAGAAGCTGATTGGTTGCCATGGACAACTACTGCAGATTCTGTCTTCTCCAGTCTATGAATTCCCTCAATATTTTGACCGATAGTGTCAATTCTAAGAACTTTTGACCGCCATATGTAACAGGATTTATATATCCAGTTTCTTTGCATTTTCTTTTTAGGCCCCATTCACACACAGCGTGTTGTCCTGTACAGTGGATTCCGCCACTGGTCCTGTACAGTGTAAGGGCCGTTTTTTATGAGGCCGGAACTATGAAAGGAAGCTTGTAGGCAGCTCATTTAACTCTATTTAGACGCAAGAGCTGTGCACCCTCGCCCTTACAAACGTCTTCCTGCAGTTCTGAGTTTTGATAGCCTCACACACTGCGTATGCCCTCAGACGCAGACATAATAGATCCATATTCAAACACCATCTGCGTATGTGTCAGGACTCTAAACTGTGGGAAGGAGCATGTGAGGGTGCACAGCTCCTGCGTCTCCATGGAGTTATATGACTTGCCTGCGCGTTTCTTCCTGCAGCTTCCAGTGCATCAACAACTTCTTGCTGTATGGAGCAATACACCTCACGTGAATGAGGCATTCACATTGCCGCTAATCTAATTGTCTCAGTAACAGCTCAAGGGAATCATGTGCGGCGGAGGCGGAAGGACACATCTTCAGTACCTTTGGACAGAGGAGACTGTGCCGGGGGCCACAGAAGCAAGGAAGGGACTGCGAGTATGAGACATGTGAAAGGAGAAATCTCTCTCCCAGCTGTCACGAATTCTACAGAAGTCCAGCTCTGCGGAACAGATGAAGAAAATGTTCTGCATCCCTCCACTGCCGCAAAGATTTGGTAATTTCTTTCTTTGAACTATTTTATAAAAAAATAATTCACAATTCAAACTGAATCACATCATACTTATACAAATGGATACAATTCTAGTACCCTGGACTGAAAAAGTGTGAAGCAAAGCTGCTTTTTAAAGAGAATGTCTAATGTATTATAAGTGGAATTTCCCCCCATTGGAGCCGGTGTAATAGCCGTACATGGCATTGCAGTCTGGTATTCTGTATATAGAATAATGATCAATGAGAAGCAATTCTTGCAACGGGGGGGAGGGGGCGGTTCCCCCAAAGGTAAGAACAGGGAGCAGAGGGGACCAACTTCATGTCCAGTACAAGATAACAAGGGATAGAGCAGTCTCCAGCAGCTGTCCATCTACTAGCTTGAAAAAGAGAGGAGGGGGAGAAGGGGAGTGATTTGCCTTGCTGTGCATGTGTGTATGTAGAGACACAGACAACTTACTAGCACACACAAGGGTTATAACTCCTGTCAGCTTTTAGCCATCTGTGTCCCAATGGGGAGATTTCCCTTTACATTCTGCCCAGTAGCCACAAACAAAAGTGAGAGGAAATCCCTCCAAAGAGAAGGAAATGCCTGGTGGTCAGCAGGGTTGCCAGAACTAGTGTCCCCATTGGAAGATTCCCCCTCTAATCCTGTTCTGGTGACAAACCAAAATGTGGGAATTTCTTTCGCTTTCATTTTCAGTGATAACAGTCACCAGGATAAAAAAAGGTGTACCCCCAAACAAGGACACAGACAGCAATATAAAATTGACAGCATGCACAGCTCAGTGTACATTCTCGGCACACCTCGGTGCCGGAATAAGTAAACTCCCATGCACTTGTGTAGGAGTTTTATAATTGCAGCCTGGCCAATCAAGATGGCCAAAGAACCAAGAAGAAGTCTGGGTGAAGATACCGGCACTGGCAAGGGAGCGAGGGGAGGTTAGTTAAGTTCCACTTTAACTACCTCCCGGCCAGCTGCTGTGTATACACGGCCGGCCGGGAGCTTCTTGGATGTAACTGGGCGCGTATACACGTCCTGTTACATTCGGGCGCGCGGCGCGGCGCGAGTGGGAAGTGCCCGTTATTTGAAAAGAGGCAGTGATGCCCGTTAATATACAAGCGATCCGCCGGCTATAGAGCCGGCGGATCGCTTGTATGAGGTCCCGTGAATTGCGCCCTCCCCGGCTCCCCCCCTCCCGCTGTCAAGCTGGTCCCGGGCTCTGCTGTGCCCAGTGCGAGCCCGGGACCAGCATATGGCCTCTGTCACAGGGGATCAGAGGGAGCTCGGTACACGAGCTCCCTCCGGTCCCCTCTCCGCTGTCAGAATGCGGAAGTGGTGTATATTACATCACTTCCGCATTCTTGTGTCACTCTCCAGCTTCAGATGCTGGAGAGAAGCTGATGAAGCAGATCTCTGCTTCATCAGCTTCTTCAGGGGGGTCCTAGGTGACATTAGGGGTCTTGGAGACCCCTGATGTCTCCATAAAGAGGACCTGTCACCTCTTTTGCTATCACATAAGGGGGTTTCTCAGCCCCCTCTGTGATAGCAATAAAGTTAAGTGGAAAAAAAAAATTGTAAAAAAATTTAAAGTTTCCCCCCAAATTTTTTTAAAGTTACACAAAAAAAGAATTAAAAAAAACAATTTTTTTTTTAAAAGTTCCCACCCCTACATACACCCACCCCTGCGAAAACAACGATTGCGCCCATTACGCCGCACATGTTACATATCGCCGCGAACGTCTAGGGCCATCAATCACTGATAACACTAAACTGATGAGCTGTAAAAGATTTTAAAGCGTCGCCTATGGCCAATTTTGGGTATGCTAGTTTTTTGCGATTTTGCGAGTGCGCACAATTTTTAAGCTTGACATGTTTGGTGTCTATTTACCCGACGTGACCCCGTCTTTTATATTTTACCAAAAAAGTGGGTAATATTAGTTGTTTTATAACATAATGTTAAAAAAAATTTCAGTAATTTCTCCTGAATATAGTAAAAAATAAAACCCGCAGTGGTGATTAAATACCACCAAAATAAAGCTCTATCTCTCCCCAAAAAATGGTATAAAATTCATTTCAGTACAGCGTTGCATGACGGAATAAATGTCAGTCAAAGTATCGCAGCGCTGAATACTGAAAAATGGCCTGGCCAGGAAGGGGGTCTAAACACCTGGTTTTCAAGCGGTTAAAGATCAACCCTGGGCTAATATTTTTTTTATATAATAACCCCCCAGCAGTAGTGAAAATAGTAAAATATCTGTCTGCAGTACTTAACTCTTGTCTGGAACAGTTCCCTGCATTCATTTCCACTTTGTAACATTGTGTCTTCATGTCTCCTGCAGGCACGTTCAGAATACATTACCAAAAATGGGGGCCCACTCTCAGACAACAAAGTCTTCCAGCAGTACCAGTGTTAAACTGCTCGGAAAGGGTAAACATCCATCTACCAATGGGCTGCTGCAGGAAAGAAAGCTGGGAAGACTGTTCTGTCCCAGCCCACTGGAAATCCAAGCTGATAGGCAGTGTCCCACACTCCCTGTGAGCACCTGGAAAGATGTCTTGATTGGACTACAGCAGAGTGGAAGCGGAGCGCCTCCAGGGGGGACTCCCCTGTCCTTCAGGAACCAACCCAATGCTACTGCACCAAAAGAGGACATCCCAAAACACAGGACTAACAATTCTGGGAACACGTCCAAGAAACCAGGACAGCGGGTCAGCCTGGCGCCGCTTACAAGATCCCACAATTCCCCAGACTCCTAATTCTGCTTGAAACATAGCTCAAAATGTGGCACATAACAAAAATAATTTACTTACTACATAGTCACCTTGCCTTTCATTTTGAATGCACATCTCCTATGCACCACAATGGACCTTTGTTTTAGCACACCATAACACTTGCTGTACAGTACGTTGTAGCGTGCTTGAAGGTCTGTTAAAAGGGTTGTTGTGGTGCCTTACCGCAAGACATGACATAACGCACTGCAGAAATGTACACCAAACGTCTCTATCCTGCCTTAAAGGATAACTGCACCTTTGTTACAAGTTGCCCTTTAAGACATGCCCCCACACCACTGAGTGCAGAGCACCTGGAGAAATACCTTCACCCTTGTATCAGTGATGTTCATTGTGAAACTCTGCCCAGTGCCGAACAGCCTTGCTTCAGCAAGTGTCCCCACCAGTTCCTCTGTATCCTGTACATGCACGCTGCAAACTCATTCTTTCTTATGGCGAACTGTACTCATAGCGGCCTCTAACCTTCCAGCAGAGTATGGCTCTCCCACAAGAGCAGGAAAAAGAGCACCTGGGGTGACTCTTTCAGAAACAAGACTGTGTGGCCTCGGTGGCATGCACAGTGAAGGTCACTGGATCGAGGACAAAGGTAAGTGTAGCGCCAGGTTGGCTTGCACTCCTCAAAGGACAGCTTTTACCAAAGGCACAGTTGTCCTTTAGTGTCTGTAGAGCTCAGCCTGGGCATCTCTCAGAGCTTTGCTAAAACCTTTCTAAATGCTTAATGTCCTGCAGGGCCCAGTCACACCATCAGGAGTGCGTTCCAGTGCGTTCGGCCTCAGTGCGATCTGCCAAAAATGCTGCAATCGCACTGGACCGGAACACAGGCAGTATATGTGCCATACGTTCGGGTGTGGGGGGTGTGGCTGCGGTGCCATGGAGTTCAATGCACCGCCACTCCCCCTCCCACCCACCAAAAAACTGAGCCGGCCAGGTTGCGTTACAGTGCGTTCCAGAGGCTGAACGCACTCTTGATGGTGTGAGAGGGCTCTCAAGGTTCATAATGATTGCAATTTAATAGTAAGCACTGTTGTGTCAAAAGTGGGTTTTTGATGACATAGTCAGTATTAGGATGTCATATTCGGCCCTGATATGTTATATGAAGTCTGTTTTGTCATTGCGAGTGTTAAAGCTGAAACTGAACTTTCGAGTTTAAAACAGCTAAATACATTCCAGGTGCAACAAAACAAAAAGTATTCATAGTGTTGTAGTTTGTTTTCTTTAGAAAGCAGCCACAGCCTGAGTAGAAACGCCTGTCCCCTGCCAGAATGCTGCGGAGAAGGAGCCTTGCTCTCTGTGTGGAAGTAGTGGTCTCTCTGCAGAGGTCTGACACTCCCCCTCATGAGTCAGAGTTATAGCTCTCCAATCAGCAAAGCTCATACTGCTGATTGGAGAGCTCTGGCTCTGATTCAGAAGGGGGAGTGTCAGGCCTGTACAGAGACACTACTGCAGATTCCAGTGGTCATTTTTTTTTTCAAAGCAGATGTAAACCCGCCTGACAACAACTAACCAGTGACATGCTTACCCGTGCCTTTAAGTTCTTTCATTAACCCCTTCGTGACGGGAGACGTACAGTGTACGTCTTGTCACTTTGTGCCTATATACTGAAAACAAACATTGTAAATACATTTTTGCACTTTTACTACCGGTAGCAGTCACGTGACCAGGATCTTCTCTTCCCAGCTCCAAGGTTTGTGGGCAGAGACGGGTATGGGCGCTCGCCTTCTTTCACTGATGTCACACTGCCCCGCTGCACTGAGCTTCCTTTAGGCCTAGATGCACTTACTACTGCTGTAGGTGAAAACAAAGGGAGGATTGCTGTCCCTGGACACTTACTTGCCTACAGCATTGGGAAACGCCACTGAAACTCTTCGCGTGGGCGAGGAGGTGTGGCTGCTTGTGAACTACTGGCGGGCCAGGAAGCGTGGCTGTCTGTAAAGTCATAACGGAATAACAACACTGCCACAGGGGTCAGACCCTGTGGTTAGCGTTGTCACCCACGAAGCAGGAGATGATAATGGCAGGGACAACAATTATTTAAAGTTGTGGGACACCCACACAATTCCTATTTTGATCAGTATACAAAACTCATTACAACTAATCTCCAGCATTAGGAAACACTCTAAATTATTACCCCAGGATGTGTAAAACTATAAAAAGCAGCTGAAATATTAACCTTCAGACTGGAGC